ACAGTGACACGGGGACATGTGGGACACGGGGACATGTGGGACACGGGGACACGGGGACATGGTGACACGGGGACATGGGGACACAGGGACACGGGGACACAGTGACACGGGGACATAGTCACACGGTCACACGGGGACACAAGGACATGGTGACACGGGGACATGGGGACACAGAGACACGGTCACAGGGACACGAGGACATGGTGACACAGGGACACAGGGACATGGGGACATGGGGACATGGTTACACGGGGACAGGGACATGTGGGACACGGTGACATGGAGACACAGGGACATGTGGGACATGGACACAGAGACACGGTCACACGATGACACGTAGACACAGGGACGTGGTGACACGGAGACATGGGGACATGGTGACATGGGGACACGGGGACACGGGGACACGGGGACACGGGGACACGGGGACACGGGGACACGGGGACACGGGGACACGGGGACACGGGGACACGGGGACACGGGGACACGGGGACACGGGGACACGGGGACACGGGGACACGGGGACACGGGGACACGGGGACATGGGGACACGGGGACACGGGGACACGGGGACACAGTCACACAGGGACACGAGAACACGAGGACATGGGGACACGGGGACACAGACATGGTGACACGGTGACATGCGGGACGTGGGGACATCGGGGACACGATGACATGGTCACTCAGTGACACAGACACATGATGGCACGGACACACGGTCACACCATCACACGGACACACGGTCACAGGGACACACGGTCATGCGGTGACACGGACACGCGGTGACGTGATCGCACGGACACGCGGTGACACGGACACACGGTGATGTGATCACACGGACACGCGGTGACACGGACACATGGTGACACAGACACGCGGTCACATGAGCGGGCACATGATCACATGGACACACGGTGACACGGACATGCGGTCACATGGACACGCAGTGGCGTGATCACACGGACACGCGGTGACACGGACACGTGGTGACGTGATCACACAGACACACGGACACACGGTGACACGGACACACGGTGACGTGATCACATGGACACACGGACACGTGGTGACACGGACACACGGTGACACGGACACGCGGTCACATGATCACACGGACACGCGGTGACACGGACAC